ATCTTTCAAGATGGGAGGAATTCTATCTCTACAGGAGAAAGGGTTAGGATAGTAACGTATATATAGCTGTGTAGGTCGATCCAATGCAGTATATTCTACCTTGCTACGGGCCCTTTTTATCTCGATACAGTAAAGTCAAGTGACGTTCACTAGGTCTCTATATCCTAAGAGTTGAGCTAACTAGTCTTACAACTATATGTTTCTTCCTCTTGCCTGATGAGAGCCAAAGACGTGATAGGAAAAGGTGTCCTGTATCCACTCACGCCAGACTTGTGCGGCTTATGGTAGATCCCAGGTTCTTATGGGGCTGAGGAAATACATTCAGACACGTGGAGTGACCAATGAGAGCTTGTTTACATTCTTGTACTGATGTGATTCTACTAGATCAATCAGATTATGAGAAACCTTGCATTACTTAAAATTCAGAGTCAAACTGAGATAGGCAAAATTTCCCAGAAATGATCAAGAAAGAGCACTATTAGAGTTATACAACTGATAAAGAGAGTGAGTATAGTGCATTCATGATAGCTCTCTATATCAAACAACTGACTCTGTGATATTTCTCTATGAGAGGAGAGGTAGTAGAGCATCAGTTCTTCTTCCTTTCAGAACTTTCTTACCATGGGTAGGAAAGGTATGTTCCTGACTATTCAGGTCACTAGAAGTCAAGTTTTTGTTTGAAAAGAGTGTAGACAAGAGGGAGGGGATAGGAATGACTCCTGAGAGACTTCTCAGGGTGGTTTAAGGAGAGTGGTAAGACTATTTGCTAACAGAAAAGCTAGAGGAACTTTTTCATAAGTCTTTTTTGTGTGTGGTCAGAGGATCATCGGAAAGAGTTTTCTCCCATATACAGTATATTCATTTGATATTATTCGATTATATTTTTGAAAAATAATTTAAATTTTCATTGTCATTCAGTAAAAGTTCATAAGTTTGCTTTGCAGGTGAATGATTTTAAGGTTTTTATCTCAGCATTTTATCATGGGATCCGCATAACAGTTTGGCGTATCTTCTACGATTGAGATCGCAAACCATAACACTATTGAAACCAAAAGTTTACCCTAGATATATGGAATGGATTGTCAAAAGGTACAGCTTCTCCCGAAGAAATTTCCCATATAATTGGACAAAATAAGTGGAAATCGGACTCCATAGTATATTAACTTCCGCATAGAATTTGTAATGCCGCTTATTTTTTATTTTGATTGGAAGACCTAAATCTGAAATGCGTCCACTATTTATATTTTCTTGTAATGCATTACCACTATGCAAATTTAGATGAATAAGGATTTGCGAACGGATTATCTTAAGAGCAAAAGAAGCGCAATCAATAATTTCTTTTCTTTCTATCCCATTTTCACCAAGAAATAAAGATCCTTGCACAAGGATCCCTTTGGTGTATAATCCAATGACAAAAATGTAATCGCCTAAAATATTGTCCTTTGATATTCCACAGCATAGAATTAGAATTTTTCATAGCCAGTATCACAATATAACAAGTGATAGGTATAAAATAAAACCATGAATTAAAATCCTCCAATAATCACTTCTTTTTATAAATTCCTTGTGACAATTTCCTGACCCGTGGAGTAGTTTAGTGCGAAATGACTTGTTCGCCATTTGATAAAGAATATAGATCGTAGCCTATCTGTTTAACACCTTTGTAAGGAAACCAGGATAATGAATGTTTTTCCTCATCAAGAATTTCATTAATCCATCTTCACTGATTTCGTAAGTCCTCTTATTTAAGCTACAAAGGTTGTTATGTTTTTTTTTTTCATTCAATAAGTAGAAACATCAAGGTACTTACCCAGTAATGAATCCATCTGCCCGTACCATTGAACGGCCATTTGTGAATCCCTTTTCACTCCAATTCCATATCGGTATAAAGTAAAGAGCATAAATACACCACTAACATCCCCATATCGGCTGATTTCTTATGATATCTAAATACCTTATGTTCACCATTTTCGACTCAATCCCCGTATAAATAACAATCTCCAACATTAAATGTCCAGATAATATTGTATCAATATTTCCAAATTATTCTTGATGATATTCGAATGACTCATATCTATCCTCTTCAACTTCAGCTCCTTTGGGATACTGTAGCAATCCAGCTGCACGTTTGCCGCCAGCATTTCCCATCTAATATTCGAACGCTTTATGTTCATCTTTTCTTTAACTCAAATTCCCTTCTCATAACATCAACCAACGTTATACGCTGCGTTCACCTTTTCCTTCTCAGCTGGTTTTTGACAACGTTCGAATGCCACGTGTTCATCATTCTAAATACCAACATCATAGAAATAACGACCACCAACATGATGAATTCAAATTACATAACCCATTCGGCTAATATTCGAATGTCTTATTCGTCATTTTCAATTCCAATTCCATTGAGGTAGCAATTACCAACTGCACGCGTTCCGCCAGCCTTTTCCAATTCCTTTCTCATAACACCAAAAAACGTTATACGTCCCACCTACGTACATCTCCCTTCTCGTCAGATTTTTGATAATATTCGAATGCCTTATGTTCATCCCGTAGAAATAACAACCACCCACATTATTGATAATATTCAAATACCTTATGTTTACCCAATTCCACGTGTTCCACTGGCGCCTCCCAACTCGGTTGATTTTAATTCCATGAAAATAGCAATAACCAGCTAGAAAAACGCTCATCATCCTTGCTGATTTTGGTAACACTTGAATGCCTTATGTTCACCTACCTCTTTTTCAACCCATCTACCAAAGTGATGACAACTTGCAAGAATGTTTTTAATAAAGTTCGCCGGTTTTCGTTGCATTCTTGCTAAATATAGTCAAGAATTATCTTTCTTTGTCACACGATTATTTAAAATAATACCAATTCTCTCATTCCGGTAAATCCTCAGTGTAACATGGCTACACTAAATTAAGAAATAGCATGTTACTCTTAGTAACTTAATATATTATTGTTTTTTAGATTCCACGACACGTGCAAATCAGTGACGACTTCGATAAATTTATATAAAATATGCAGGTGACGATAAATAACTGGGCCTGTTGGTGTCATATAAAACGAAATAGATGATATCGCTCTCTTTCATCTGACATCGCTGTTTGTCCGGAAGTGATACTAATTATTTGTGGGAAATTCTGTTACTCGATTACCTTTAATCGGAGTGAAGCATCATACAGTGCCTCGTGGAAGTGGTAATGATAACGGCACATCATACGATCAATTAAGACCCCGCCAATTGGTATTGTCTATCGCCATACTGGGAATCTAAGTAAATTTTTATTGGATGTCATCCATGTAATAGATCTACTGATGAAAATTTTTAAGAACCTAGATCCATATACCGCGCTGCTCTGTTAGGCAATGGACATAATATTAAATCTTGCCGAAGAATATGTCTTCGACGACTTTTACGTGCGTTTGTTTCCCGTCATGTCGACAAACGTTACCACTCTCGGTAGCCTTCACCCACTCCCGCGGGACAACATCTATAGACAATTTCTATCATTATACATTCTTACCACAGTTTTTGCTTACTTCTTTTATTTCTTTTTTTCAACTCTCTCTTACTTCTTTGTATTTGACAAAGAATTAATGAAGCATCCTAAGTTCCTAAAAAATCAAATACAAAAAGAAATCAGACTTTCTGTTCTGGGATTTCCATTTATTAGTTTAATCACAGTCCCCTGGTTTCTGGGAGAAGTCAGAGGGTATTCCAAGTTATATGAGAATATTAGTGACTACGGTTGGCTTTACGGTCTATTTTCAATTGTACTATTTCTGTTCTTTACCGACATGTGCATTTATTGGATTCATCGGTGGTTGCACCACCCACTTTTCTATAAACCTCTGCATAAGGTAAACTTCACAATCACAATCCGACGAAGTGACAAAAAAAAAAAAAAAGCAAAATTTTCTCTATAATATCGTTTATTTATTAAAATTATTTGACATCCGACTTCATCAGGCCCACCATCGTTGGATTAGTAAGTGGTTGCACGTGACTGGTTCTCTTTCTTCACGTTTGCATATGACGACAGAATGTTTAAAAACTTTTGCCACCTAGTTCCGACACCGTATTCGTCACATGCATTTCACCCACTAGATGGATATCTTCAATCCTGTCCCTATCACCTGTTTGTTTTTATTTTCCCTTTGCATAAGTGGATTTACTTGGCTTTATTTGTGTTCGTCAACATGTGGACAATTATGATTCACGACGGTATGCATATGAATTTTTACTCTATGAATGGTGTCGTCATTTATTAATCATGCATCTTTAATGATAACAAAGGTCAGTTTATCACATCCGGATCGTTTATTAATGGAGCAGCGCATCACACTATTCATCATCTATACTTCAATTACAATTATGGTCAATATTTTACCATCTGGGACAAGATCGGTGGTAGCCACCGTCTTCCTGGTGGTGAACAATTGAATAGCGAATTGAGAAAAGACAGAAATGTTTGGAAAAAGCAAACCGCCGAAGTGAACGGATTCGATGAGAATGGAAAAGAAAAAAATCAATGAGGTTAACTTCTGTTAACATTTTATTCGCTAGATTCATCTATGTATAATAGAGATGTTGGGTAACTCGGCCGGAACTTGTTTTACCCGATTTAGTCAGTCTGAGCAGTTATAAGTAGCAGCAATAAATTAATAAATGTCACGTATATTACGTATATTACAGCCAACCAACTTTCGCGATCCTGAAATTCTAGAACCTATTGTTTTGTATAAGTAGATGATGATATTGGCCAGTTCGGTATGACACCAGTATCACGCGTTATAATGTCACGTGAAGATATCGTAAATCTATGATTTAAGATTTCTTTTTTTTTTATATCTACTAAAGAAATATTCTCGTTGACTTGTTGTTGATTGGCAAAGGTATTTGATCTTTATTCAATGCTTTTAATTTCCGGCTCGGATCAATAGGTCACATTGTTCGAACGACATAGTGTAAAAGAATTTCTTTCGCAGGTTAAGAAATGTCCGAAGTAAAAAAAGTTGACGAACATTCGAAGGCACAACTAGATTATTCTATTCAACCTCAAAAAACAACTCCTGCTTTAAATACTTCAGAATGGCCATTATTGTTAAAAGTAAGACCTAGTTAACAAAGCGCGTTGTGGACGAGTTCCTTTCTTATCAACACCCTGTGTATCTTCCAACCAAACCCCTAGAATTACGATAAGCTTCACGTCCGCACCGGGCATTATACGCCAGTCACTCACGGATGCTCTCCGCTTAAACGGGAACTTGGGGAATACATAAGGTCTACAATTGTTGCTTGAACAGACAGTCTGGTCGAGAAATTCATTGTTCACAATCTAAATTGATCTGCCAAAACCCTTCATCCCTGATAGATATGGCATTATCAATCTTGATAAACCCGCAAATCCTTCTTCACATGAAGTAGTTGCATGGGTTCGCCGTATACTTGGCGTCGAAAAGACCGGTCACAGTGGTACCTTAGATCCCAAAGTTACAGGCTGTTTAATCGTTTGCATCGACCGTGCAACGCGATTGGTCAAATCCCAACAAAGCGCAGGCAAGTGAAGATATTTGTTCGTATCCTTTTGAACTCACTTTACAAATTTCTAACATTCCTTCTGCATTCAGGAAAGGAGTATGTTTGCGTTATTCGATTCCACGATTCACTTAGTTCGCCAAGAAAGTTTTCTTCGGCCTTGGAGACTCTTACGGGCGCCCTCTTCCAACGTCCTCCCTTGATATCGGCGGTCAAACGACAATTACGCATAAGAACCATCCATGAGAGCAAATTAATAGAATATGATAACGTTCGTCATTTGGGTGTTTTTTGGGTTAGTTGTGAAGCTGGAACCTATATTCGCACGTTGTGTGTTCATATGGGCCTTATTCTCGGTGTTGGCGCTCACATGCAAGAACTTCGTCGCGTTCGTTCCGGCGCGTTGTCTGAAAATGTAAGTGACTTTGTGACCGTGCTTCCATTTAAAGTTTCCTTTATCGAGTTACTGTAAGAAATTTACTCATGAATTGATTCAGGATAACATGGTCACGATGCACGATGTGTTGGACGCCAAATGGTTGTACGAAAACTCCAAAGATGGTAGGAATATCCAGCTTTAATTTGATTTTCGATAGTTTTGGTAAATTCGTCTTGCCTATTTCAAACCGCATCATACAGAAAGTTATCTCCGAAGAGTTATTCGTCCACTTGAAACTCTTCTTACGACCTATAAACGTATTGTGGTGAAAGATAGTGCTGTCAATGCCATATGCTATGGCGCAAAATTGATGGTGCCGGGTCTACTTCGATACGAAGAAGGGATCGAGTTAAATGAAGAAGTTGTCCTAATGACCACAAAAGGAGAAGCCATTGCCCTCGGAATTGCACTGATGACAACGGCCGTGATGGGAACCGTTGATCACGGTAGATTACTTTCTTTAGTCGGTCATCTCAAATCACTTGTCATCAACCCTGTTAAAAAATTTCTTCTGTTGATGCAATTGATTAATTACAGGGGTGGTTGCTAAAATCAAGCGCGTAATCATGGAACGAGACACCTATCCAAGAGTCTGGGGACTAGGTCCTAAAGTATGTCTTGCTATAAACGTGATGCAATAATACATGTTGTGAATTTAATTCGCGACTGTCATTTGTGGAGCCGTGTCGCGATTTTTGTGCAGCTAAACGCCATCTGGTAAAAATTTGAGGATGGCGCGCAAAAAACTAATTGTCATCAATCGATCTAATTGAATCAGGCTTCGGAAAAGAAGAAATTGATTTCCGAAGGTAAATTAGACAAATACGGTCGATCTAATGATAACACACCTGAGCACTGGAGAAGATCGTATGTTGATTTGCGAGATGTGGGCACGAGAAATGACGTCGGTAAATCAACACCCGAGGTGTCGAAACCGACTGAGATACCAGCACCCATAGAGACAACTTCACAACCTCAGAACCTAATACAGGAGGTGCAATCTACACTTTCAAAGAAGGTAAATGATTTTACAGTTTCTGGCAAATTTAATTGATCAACTATGCTGCTTTCACTTATTTAATTGGTTATTCTTATTATTTTTTTTCTTTAACAGAGAAAAGCTACGGATGAGTCGGTTGAAGAGGTTGAAGAAGAGAAACTACCCAAAAAAGAGAAGAAAGCGAAAAAACCAAAGATCAAAGAACATTCTCATTCAGAATTGAGCACGTCGAGCGTGACTATAGTTAAAGTAATAATTGATAGGTTTTTAGTTTTATTCGTCCATGTCTGACATTCATATCTTAAACTTTGTGTAACCAATGTTTAATGTAGAGAAAATCTGACTCGGATGACGACAACTCTGGTCAGCCGGAAGGCTCCACCACGGAAAAAACTCCGAAGAAAAAAGTGAAAAAGGAAAAGAAAGCGTCTGGAAAAGAACGTGCGGAGAATGATGATAACGATGAACAAAAATCTGAAAAGAAAAAATCGAAAAAAGAAAAGAAAGATAAGAAGGGAAAGTCAAAAGCCGAATGAACGTCCTATTGGTAAAATCGGAATTCAAAGTACTCACCTTACTCATTTCTGTTTGAGGATTTGTGTGGTAGGAATGGATTTTTCTCGTGATTGATTCAAAGGGTATTTTAAATAAAAATTTTTGAACAAAACCACTGTTTACTGTATTACTGTATCTGTTAAGATATAATAATTCTAATAATTAAAATAACATGATTAATAGTTATTACTGTAAGTTTTTGACATTTTTATTTTATAAAAAAATTGATTTATTTTCAAAAATAACTTGTTACGTCATTGTAATTTTTTACATTTGCATTTATTTAATTTACTTGAGCAATTATCTGTAAATATTTTCTTTAAAAATTTTATAGTATAACTTTTTTAAAAAATTTTTACAGATATAAATTTTTATTCTATAAAAAAATATTAAGTTAATCTGTTAATAAGCTAATTTTAATTCAATATAATCAAAGCTTTCTAATTCTTTTTAAAAAAACTTTTTTTCACAACTTTTTTTAAAAATAATAAAAATATTTTTTATAATATTTTAGAATTCTATTATATTATAGTAATATAGAAAAAAAAGATCTATAATATTGAACTCTTTCTATATATTCTTTAATTATACATAAAAAAGATATTTGTAAAAAGTTTTTTATTTATATATTAATAAAATCTTAATACTTTTCTTAAAACAACTTGAAGAATAACTTTATGAATCTCTCTCATTCTTCTTATATTGTTTATATATTTTTTGAAACAAAAACTTGACTTCCAATAATCAAAAAAAGTCAAAAAAAATATTTTTTTTACCTATGATAAGAAAGTTTTTTTTTTTTTAAAAAAAAAAAACAAATTGTAAAGTATTAAAACATATTTTATAAAGTAAAAATGTAAATAAAGTCTGTTATAGTAAAAGAACAGATAAATAAAAGTTTAAACTTTGAAAATTTTTCTATTTACTATTATTATTTTATTATGATTACTTATTTTTTAAATATTTTAGAGAATTTTACTTATTTTAACTTGATCCTAAATTTTGAAATAACATAAAATTAATATATCTTTTACTAAAAATAATTAATTAACAAGAAATATATTAATAGTAATATATAAACAAACTTTTACTAATTATAACATATGTTTTGATAATATCATTAATAATTAAAAAAATTAATTGATACTTATTTTTATCTTTTTTTTTCAATTGAATTAACTTTGATTTTAAATATATTGGATCAATAAAAATTGAATAACAAGTTTTCAAATAGTAAAAAAATCTTTATTTATTCAAACTGATATCTTTTTTCCCTATTATTTGAATCAGGTAAGGTGTAAAAATAAAATCCCTTTTTTTTTTTATTCAAGTTAGACAATAAGTTTAACAAGTTTTCAAATATGTGAAACTTTAATTATATAAATATAGCTAAAAATATATTTCTTCAAAATTTTTAGAAAAATATTATAGTTAACAAGGATTTTCATTTTTATATCTAAATTTTTATATTATTATAAGATAAAAATATTATTAAAAAATTTATCTTTTAAATAATAAAAAATATATATTAGTAAAATTTCTTTAACTAAATATGATTATTAAAAAATATTATACTAATACAATATACTATAACTTAATTTCTATTAGAGTACTTAATAACTTAAGATTTATTATAAGTCAATTGTTTTTATTTCAAATAGATAAAAAATTCCTGTTCAAAGCACGTTGAAACTAGATATATTCTTGATATAAAAATATCTATAAAACAATAAATATTTTAAATAATATATAAAAAAATTAAGAATAAATACAGTTGCTTCCAAAAGTTTGAGTCCGCTTACTATATTTTTATTATAAATTTCAATTTTGGCAATTTTTAAATCTTTAATTATACAATCAAAAATTATAAAATTTATATATTTTATATCTTAATACTAGTTTTATTTATTATAATTTTTTTAAAAATTTTTGATATGTAATTTTTAAAGTTTTATTATTGCTCAAAAATTTCTTTATTTATCAAATTTTTACTTTTGAAGGATTTTGATTGGCTATTATCATAAATCATATGATAATTAATAAAAAAATAAAGATATTTAGCAATAATAAAACTTTAAAATATATTAATAAAAAATTTTTTAAAAAAATACAAGAAATAAAATAAGTATTAAAATATAATATATATAAATTTTATAATTTTTGACTGTATAGTTGATGATTTAAAAATTGTCAAAGTTAAAATTTATAACAAAAACATAGTAAGTGGACTCAAACTTTTGGAAGCAACCATATGTCTAGATTTTCTAAATAGATAGTAGTAAAAATTTAATTCAATTGGATATTTTTGAGCAACAAATTATCCAGTAGATCTTTTAAAAGTAGGATTTTAGAAATGTTTGTAAATTCTAATAATAAAAATATATAATTACTGCAGTTAAATTTACAAATTATTTTATCAATATTAATAAATAAGGCTGAGCTTCTATTCCATAAGTAGAATAGTTTATCTAGGATAAAGAAGTCTTTACAAAAACTTTACTTAACTGAAATAAAAGCTTAAAGATCTCAAAAAATTTTTTAAAAAAATCTTTTCATTACATAAAAAACTTATTAAGAAATAGGGATATCATATTTCATATTCTTTACTTACCTTTTGATATTATAACTATTTTTCTTGAGAACTTGTTCAGTTGAAGAATACTTTTTTAATAAACTTTCTTTTCAATTATTAATAACATTATTAGAATATATGAATGTAATTAATGGGAACTTGTTTATATTTCAGAAATTAATATGTTTTATATTAACCAATTACCTTTGATAAAGATTTGTATTACTCAAAATTCAGGATTAACTAAAATAGATAAAATTTCTCAGGAAACTATAAAAGTAAAACCTCTAAGAGGATTAAAACAATTCAAAAAGAAGAAAATAAGTCTTTTAATTATAACAAAATCTCTATAAACCTCTTATTTCAAAGATTAGAAAGATTTTCAAGTACTTTATAGTTAGTTCTTCTTTCTTTGAAAACTTTTTTACTATTGATATTAAAGATATTACTTGATTTTTCTTGGTTACTGGAAGTCAAGTTTTTGAATAAAGAGGTTTATAAACAAGAAAGAGAGTGTAGAAGAGACTCTTAGAATCATACTTCAAGTTGTTTTAATGAAATATTAAGTTTTTATTAACAAAAAAGTGTAAAAACTTCATGTGAACATCTTTTTTGTGTGTGATCAAAGAATCGGTGGAAAGAGTTATTTTTAATATTATAAATTGATAATATACAATATATTATAGTATAATTATAAATTTAAAAAATTATATTTTATAATTTTAAAAAAATTTTTAAATAAAAATATAATAATATCATTAATGCTTGCAAATTTAGATTTAAATTTCATATGTATATTTTATTTATAAAATATTTAATTATACAAGAAAAATTAATATACATAAAAGATCAATAAACATGTAAGAATAATATTTTAAAAATAAAAAAATTTTTTGCTTGAATTATTTCAAATATTAGTATCAAACGTAATATTCGTAAAATAAGAGGCTTAACTCCAGTGCATGTAAAGAGCAGGTTGGTGCACGTTGGTCAATAGTTGAATAGGTACATCTTCGTTATCACTTAACGACTCGTTCTTTTTCTTCCATTCACTTGCATCTTGAATGTTCCAACTTCCGTCGGATCTCTTTTTTCCAACACGAATGGTTCTCGTTTCGCGTTCACGCGTTTGTCCGTTATCGTCTTCACTATCGCTGCAGTCATAATTGTATTCGCTAAGCAACCTATATCAAATTGATCAAATATCAATAAAATAATAAAAGTGTTTACAGCAATATGTACATGTTAATTAATACATCACCAGCCAATCGTCCACTCAAATATAGCAGAAAGCAAGGATGCCTTGGGAGACCAAGGTGGCATGGGCGATATCTGTCCTGTGGAATATAACATAGGCAAGCATCCGCGAGATTTTTTACGCCCATTTTTGACAGGATTCACTTCTTCCACTGGTAAGACAGGTACCTTCACGTCATTAATAACGCCTAGTTTCCCCAGTCTTTTTGTTCCTCTTAAAGTGCTCTTTCTCCTATGTTTTTCTGACAATGCCAAAAATACTTCGGACATGTATACACTCCATGCCAATCCTGTCCTCTTAAGACGTTCCACATTTTGACCGTCTCCATCAATTAACGTTGATACCAACGTATTTGGGCTTGAAATATTAAACTTATCTTCTAATACAGAAAAACATCTTGCTAGCCTTTTTTTAATATTTTCTTTGCCATTACGCTCTTCATCATTCCCAATTAACAATTCATAATCCTCGAGCCATTCGTTATTTGTATGATGAATTAATGTGGCCAATATAATCCCATCATTCATTCCAGTAAAGTCTTCTACAGGGTATGAAGAAGGAGGTAATATTGCAGAGTATTCGATAAGTTGCATGTTTATCCAAAACAGTATACCCGAAGAAGAGCTCATAGGTGTAGAATGATCCAATCTGAGAGTCCTAAATCTGGCTGGTGGTGCCTGAACTTTTTTGTTGTTAGATACACCAAGGAAGCTACCTGGAGGAAGTGACAGGCGTTTATCGACCGATAATTGTGGTGTAGGGACGCGTCTAGAATTAGTTCGAGTTGATAATTTTCCTTTATCATCCGTCTTCGTTGGGGTAATTACGGGAACTTCTTTCGAATTTGAATTTTCAACATTAGCTTCTCGCAGGACTTGTTTATTTTCCATAGATATTTCATAAGAAGACTCTTGATCATGATGTTCAAATTCTTTACGGGAATCGATTGATGAAACTTGAGCATGATCTTCCTGATAAGAATTGAGAGATGAATCTTGATCATGCCGACATTCATCTTGGGATAGGTTATGTTCTCTGTATTCCATGGGTGACTCAAGTTGACCGGGTTCATCGGAAAAATCAATAACTGGTGAAATTGGTAGTTCGGTCCGCTCAACAAGAACATCCAACCAACTGTGATCGTGTAAACTCGCACCTCCTCCCATTGCATCTTTGGTTGAGCTGGAATTAGCTTCAGCCTCGGCGCCAAATGCCCCTTCATTCATTGCCTCGAAAACGCCAACCATTTGGCGAAACTTTGAGATCATCAACCAAATTAAACCCAAGGTCAATTTAACGTTGCCGTCAACAATGTCCACGGGACCAATCGCTTGCAAAGCTGCTAAAGCTGAATCGTCAAGTCTCGTTTGTAAAAATTGCAAGACTTTGTTAACATTTGCAACATAGTGATGTCTCGTTCTGCCACGCTCGGGTTTTGGTAATTCCGGATCATTCTCGAATAAGACATGAAGCAATTGAATTAATCTTTTTCCGTCTCTGAAATCACGATCAATTGCCTTAATTTCTGGAATTTTTTGGGAAGTCTCTTCATCCACATGAATTGTGCGTAATTGAATGTTGACCCATTTTGTAAAGGTAGCTTTCTGAACTGCGGTGTATCTGTCGGAAGAAGTGGAATAATATTTGTTCTTAACATTAACGACTTTCGTCGTTGTGTCCCACTGACCAATGAGTGAACTACGACGACGTGGTGGGTTTTGTCGTGGTGAGTTCGGTGGTGAGTTCGGTGGTGAATTCGGTGATAGTGGCATATGTTAAAAAATATAAGTTGCTTTTGCAAGCAGTATGAAGAATTTTTGGAAGGAAAAAATTCCCCCATATATACAAAATAATTGATCATACGTTCTAAAGAAGTTTAGTTCCATAATCCCTCCTTACCCCGTGTAACCGGCTCCGAAATACGCACGTACGACCATCCCTGAGATTACGTATTAAAAATTTAAAAATTTTAATTTTTCCATAAATCTTACGACCTTAAAAATTTCCGAACTCTATCGACGTGTGGTGATGCCACCCTTTTTTTTTTAAGTATCACCGTATTGCCTATGTACGCAGGCACATATTTACTTTTTTCTTTTGTAATCCGAAATGTCCACCGTTCTTCAAACCGCTTCCTCTGCAATAACACCTTTTTTTACTTCTTTAGCATCAGGAGATGATTCACCGAATTCAATTACCTCCATGACGGGAAATACCGTTAAGCCTGTTTTTGTGAATGAATCATGCTTAGAATTTCTTATCATGGAGATGGTTGACTTAATGTTTCGTACGACAGCTGATTCTGAAAACGATAAGGAAGCTGTATTTTATAAATTAGAGATGTTGGGTTATCAAGTCGGTCAAAGTTTAGTCGAAAGGTGAGATAGGTCTGTCTTGTTGCATGTATCTTAGATAGAGTAGTTGGGTTGATTCTTGTTTCTTTTTGTTATTCAATTCTCGTTCGATCTTTCACATAGCTTTAAGAATTTCACCTTTAATTATGAATCAAACGATTGATAGATTTACAAGAGATCGACCACGTTTTGTCGATACACTGGATGTAGTTAAATTTATTTGCAAAGAATTCTGGACTATAATCTTTAAAAAGCAAATTGACAATTTGAAGACCAATCATAGAGTGAGTAATTAATTATTACAAACTATCTTCTTATTTATACACATTTGTTTTCAATATTTATTCTACTTATTTGCTTATTTATTTTGTAGGGTGTATATGTGCTACAAGACAACAATTTTAGGTGGTTTCTCAGAATGTCAACCGAAACTGGGAGTGCCGATGCCGCGAAGAGAGCAATGGCTGTAAGAAATAATTAACTTCAGTTCGCTTCGTTATGATTTCATACTCATTTCATCCTTGATAATCTAGTATTTCTGGTTTCCGTGTGGATTGATCAGAGGTGCCCTAGCTAATTTGGGCGTAGTCAGTGTGGTGGTCGCCGAAACAACATCTTTGCCACAATGTATGATGTCTTGTCTATTATTGCTGTTAATGCATTCACAAAACCATTGACACCCCACATTCATTCACAGGCACATTTCAAATCAAGATTGCTAAATCATAAGTAAAAATTCCGTTTGTAACGCCAAATTTTTATAATCAATAAATCCAATCTTTGAAATAAAATTAATTATACGAAGTCTTGTTTGAGACTTGGTGACAATTTTTTTTTTTTTTACTTTGTAAATGGAAAAGCCATATCAATTGAAGAAAATGATTATTGTAGAGATGTTAATGTGAGGATTGAATAGGAGAAAATCATATAGAAAATGCAAATTGATCCCATCCATTTGAATTGCATTTCGCCTAATTTCCATTGGCGATTAGAGGAATTAGTAAAGAGTTCGTCAGGAGAGCGAAGAGGTACGCAACACCTTGCTTGCTTATGCAGCCTTCTTTGATTTTTTACTTTTGTTGAGAAGTGTTTTATTAATGTGCTGAATCGTAATATAAAGAAAGATAGAAAAGGAGGATTAGATCATATATATCATCACAACGAAAAAATCTCCAATAAAAATTATAAGTTTACCGGCAAGACACCACCACCAGCGATTGTAGCACGAATCAGCGTATCTAGTTCTTCGTCACCGCGAATGGCCAATTGCAGATGACGTGGTGTAATACGTTTAACTTTTAGATCTTTAGATGCATTTCCCGCTAACTCGAGGACTTCGGCTGTAAGATATTCCAGAATAGCTGCTGAATAAACGGCGGCCTTAGCCCCAACGCGCGCGTTATTCAGAGTTCGCTTTTTCAGGTATCTATGAATACGACCAACTGGAAACTAACATTGGCCGATAACATATTAATACGTAAGTGTTTTGATAAGAAAAAAGCTCTCGTAACACACTATATATAACTCATAAATGTGTAAGAAAAAATGACACGAAAAGTGACAAAAATAAAAAAAAGGCAATGATAACATTACTTGTAAGCCAGCTCTTTGTGATCTAGACACGACTGGAGGTCTATCTTTTTCTTGGTTTTTTTGTTGGTGATTTGCATTATCCGCAGTACCGTTTTCGTGCGTGATGCTTTGCTTTCCAGTAGCCTATCGGTTTTGTTTATCGTGAGATTTAAATTGTAAAATACATAATAAATGATTAGTAATGACTTTTATAAACGCGACTAGGTGTGGAGTAATCTATATCCTTAGCAAATTACTCGAGCTTTTTTTGTAGAAATTTACGGTTTTTTTTAGATAAATGTTGGGAGTTTAATAGCTTTTTTCTTTCTTTTCTTTTTTTAAAGCAATGTAGGTACGTCGTATTATGAACTAACATAATAGCAACTTGTGCACGTGACAACTTGCGAGATAAATTGTTGTGATAAGCACATACCATAATCAAAAAAATTTGTAAAAAGTGATGTCGGTTAAAACCAAAAAAATAAAATAAAATAAAATAAATTGGAAAAGATGTAATCTGAATATTTTTCTTGAATATAATCGACCGGTGATGAGTTAAAAGGGAAACCGTTGAAACGATTTTTTTTTTTTTTTTTTTTTTGAAAAAGGATATATAAAGACTGGAGAGAGAAGAGTTGATACGTAAAATTACGGTTGAAGTTGATTTTATGCTGATCCGATGATGACCCGGGATTTTATAGGGTTTTACATATTTATCCTTTTTTTCGTGCATATTTGACAATTTTGGATGTGTCGACTAGTGCCAACCAGTTAACCGTACCGTAATACATTTCCTAATTTAGTGATTAATCTCGAGTATTTTTTAAACTATTTATTTTAAAATAAGTTTTATAATATCAAATTAAATATTATATAGTTATCTATTTTATACTTAAAGATGGGTCTTTAAAGAAGGAGACAGGGACATAAGTCAAATGTCCCTCACTAGAAAACATTAAAATTTTTAATAATAACTATAAAAAAACTATACACAATTGTTCTTAATTATCTAAATCATTGATTTATAGTATTTTCTGACTTTTATCCCTATTAAAGTGAAGAGTTATGAATTTTGTTCCTCAAAAAAGGACATAAGTGATCTGCAAAATTTTATATGCTAAATACTTTAGGGACCCATCATTATTTATACTATTACTATTTTTTTTTTTTAAGCCCTCTGTCAGGTTAGGTATGTATGCTTTATTAAATGCTTTGTATACTTTATATTAAAAATATATTGCTAAAGTTAAATCTCTACTTAACTTATTTATTAATATTTTGAAATTTATCAAAACTCTAAGTACAACTTTGGGAGTCATTTATCATTCCATTAGTAGTTTAGGTAAAAATTTCATATTATTATTATTATTTTTTTTTTTTTTAAACCCATGGTCAGATCAATATTATGTATTTATTAATTATTATGAAAATTGATAAAGATAGATAAAGCAATTATATTATGGTTAAACTAAAAGACTTATACTGACACACTTGTCAATGGCTTTCAATTTTCAAAAGAGTTTTTAGCCTTTAAGTATAACCTTGGAAACAATATTTTACTTTGGACTAAGTTTTAAATAAAAACTCTTTTAACTTATCTATCATTGCTAGCAGGTTATCATTGCTTATTATTCTTCAAAGAATTGAATTTGAGAAACTATAAAAGGGAAAAGAAAAAATAAAAAAAAAAAGAGAATATTTAAAAATGTATAAATATATTACATAAAAATGAAAAGAAAAAAAAGAAAATTAAAAATACTTCATATTCTCTAAAGAACCTCTGTTAAAACCTTTTCTCATTAGGAGTTAGCCCTTCTGAAATATTCTTCTTTTTTTTGATTATCTGAGAAACTTATTCATCCATACTTTTGATTATTTTTTTGTAACCATCTGAAGTACTTATCACCTATTCAAATCCAATATTTTGCTCAATGTTCCTTTTTTTTTATGTATTTATCAAAGCAAGATGAAAAATATTATAGTTAAATATTTATGTTATATCTATTATAAATATATAAAAAGTTTCTAAGTTCAATCTTAAAGATAATATTTTGTTTCAATAAGAATTTTGGATAAAGACTTTTTTAATTTTTATTATTATTGTCAGTAATTTGTTGTTATTATATATTCTATAAAATCATTAATTAATAGAAAACTATAAAAGGAGAAGAAAATATAAAAGAAAAATATAAAATATAAAAATATATAAATTCATATATAAAAAAAAGAGAAAAAGAAAAAAAAAATCCAAATATATATACAACATAAAAACTCTTTCCGCTGATCCTAAATTTCCTTAAAAAATTTCCTTTTTCGGTAATTTTCTTGGAAAACCCAGAAGCC